CCACTAGGGACATATCAGGCTTAGATCCTCTGGGTCTGGCCAGAGAAGGAAGTTCAGGTTAAAGCATGGCGGCCCTCCAAATGGGTCAGGGTTGGGGGGCCACCTTGTTCACTCACTTGCTAGCTCCAGTGATGCTAGGCCAGGTCTGGTTGTCAGGGGTTTAGGCCTCCCCTAGGCTGGAAGGCCTTTGAGGGCAGCAGCCTGCTGTAGTCATCAAGTGGCCCCCCCGCCCAGGGAGAGGATGGTAGATGTTGGGTACCCTCTCCACTTTCCTCCTTTCCCTTGTCTTTCAACCTGGGGTCCTCCTTGGGTATGGATATTGAAATGCAGCTATCCTTAGTAAGCGTGACTCAGTAAGTTCCTAAAATCTTCAGTGTGTGCTAGAGCTTCAGGTTTCCCCCCACCACCTCTGCCTAGGACCAGGGAATGGAAAACCTAGGATGAGAGAGAAAGGTCTCAGGGGACCATGGCTACATAGCTTTGCTCCAAGCTGAATGGTGATTGATTTTACCTCCAAAATAACTGGTACTAATTTATGCCTCATCTTGCATCTATTGGGACAGTAGTGGCATTCTTAATATGCAAAATCCTGTGGGGAGAGGCATTTTACTTTCTTGCAGTTTATTAGAGGCATCTGGGACCACCCCACCCCACCCCACCCCACCCCACCCCCCAGGAAAAGGCTAGCAACCCATGGCGTTGAAGAAGGAATGCTGGGTTTAGAGCCAGAGAACCTGGTTTCCAGTGATTCTGGACCAGCTCTGGACTGGCTTTCCTCACCTGTACGGGAGGGTGATGAAAGTAACACCTACCTCACAGGGATCGTGTGGGGCTTGGTGAGATAATGTCTGGGAATGCACTTCGGAGCCCTAGACAAATGTTGGTCATTCTATTTTTCATAGTCTTACATTTTATTTAGTGCGTTATAATATGGTATCTTCCACACAGACCAATGAGGCAGGCAAGGGAGGCAGTACAGTTATTCCCATTTTACAGACTAACAAACCAAGTTCAAGTGATTTGCTCAAGGTCACACAGCTACTGAGGGCCAGCCAAGTCCAAGTTGAACAACATAATGTAAATAGGTATTCAATACGAGGCGCCCTCCCCTCCCCCCTCTCGCCTGCGTTTTGGCTTGAACCGTCCAGCTCAGGCAAGTCAAAATATTTGGAGATCCTGGCCCATCCACCCCAACCGGGGACAGTAGTGATGGCTGCCAGTTTGTACCAGACTTGACCGGGGGGACCGCGAGGCCGCAGGGAGGGCTTCCCGCTCTGAGGCCCCGCCTTCCGGCGGCCCCGGCAGGAAAGCGCCGGCGGCGACGGGTCTCCGAAGCCCCGCTGTGGAAATCCCCAGTTCTGGTGCGGGCCGGTGGGAACCCGCTGGCGCTCTCGCTCCCTGCTGAGACCCAGGCGCACGCGGGGTAGGCTGGGAGGGTCCGGGCGTATGCGCACCTGTGGCCTTGATGGCCCCCCCGCCAGGCTCTCCACCCTCTCTCGCCCTCCAAGCCCTCCTTCCCCGCTGCCCCCCTTATTGGGGTGTGGGTGTTTGTTTGAACCCGACCGGGTCAGTGAATAGCACCCTTGTCTGGCGCTTTTTTTCTCTAGGCCTGGTCCCCGGGAGGCTCATTCCAGGGTTCCTTTCTTTTGGGACCTAAAAAAACACTCCAGCTTTTGCTGAGGACAGCGCTAGGCTCCCCGGTGCCCTGGCACGCTGGCAAGGAGAGGAAGCGGGGAGGAGGCAGGAACCAGACGCGACTCCCCCCGCCTTTCTTCCCTTCCCTGCTCCCCTCCCCTTCAGGAAGAAAGCAGTCAGAGATCTGATCTCTGCTGCGGCCGCTGTGCCAGCACCAACCACTAGATCCTCCTTTTCCTCCCACCCAATTTTGCACGGAGCGCCCGGCTGCCCGCGCGCCCCAGGCTGGGCAGGTCCTAGCGGGCGGCGCAGGCTCCCCTCCCCGGGGGTTCTTAGCGAATCACGTTGTTCCTGGGATTTCACGCTCGAGTGGCTCTTGCGTAACCCTACGCCCTGGCCTAAATTAATACTTTTTTTAAAAAAGTACCAGAATTAATCCTTTAGGAAAAGGCAAGCACTTCCGCCTCGGAACCGGCCCAAGAGTAATGCGTAAATCACCGCGCTGACTCGATTCCCCTACCCCCACATCCCCGGGGGGTTCCTGGCGCGGGGATGGGGGCCCTTGGAGAGGCCAGAGGACGACCCAACCCAGACGTTTGTTTTCATCTTCTCTGAGGCGGCTCTAGCGGGCCGAAAAACCGGGTCTTGCTTACCGCGGGGCTGAGTGTTACCAAAAAAGGCCTTTCTCTCGCCGGAGCGCTTGGCCGCGCGCTTCAGCGGGGTGACGCGAGGTTCAGCCGGGGCCTCCTTGAAGGCTGAGCCAGCTGGCTGCAGGGATGCCAGGCCGAAGAGTCCCCCGCCCTACCCATCTCTGCCATAAACCAGCCGGGAGTGAGGGCGGGGGAAGACAGAAGGGAGACTGCAGGGAGCTTCGAAGTGCATGGGCCCGCTGCGAGCTGCTCACCGCTCATGTTGGGCTGTGGCCTCCAGGAAAAGCCAATTGGAGAGCTGACCTTTTGCTCCAGTTTAGAGCGGGGTTGTCTGAGGATGGCAGCTCAGATGGCAAGCTGGGGGGAAGACAGCCACCGTCGGAAGGAACTTTGGGCAGACCGCAGGCGTCTCCCCTTACTCCTGGTTGAGCCTGGCTCTGCTACTCTCCCAGACCCCACCGCCCGCTCCTTGCCTCTCACCACCTGGTTTTAGGGTGAGCCTCCTCCCCGCCCCCCGCCCTCCTGCCCCCGTTCCTTTCCACTGTGGACACAGTATTGTAACATGGGATTCTCCTTCAGGGGAAAATCCATCTCCAAAACATTGGTGTTCTTGCCTCTCACAATCCCTGACACATCCCCAAACAGGGCCATGTCAGAGAAGCCGTTAAGACAAAATTTATCACCATAAATGATGGCGATTCTTTGTGGGGGGAAGGGTATCAAGAGAGCTATGCTTTTTAAAGGATTATGAGACTGTAATGGAAGTTTGTTTAAATGCATGTTTATTTCTAACTCAGTGTGTCTGAAGACACCCGGCATGTATGTGTATATATATATCTCCTTTAGTAACAGCGAAGACAGAGACAGACAAGGAGATGGGGACATATGTGTGCGCATACCAAACATAACACTCTGACAACGAATCCAACTTGCTTTCTCTAGCAGCCTGGCTAGAGGGCTGGGGCTAAGTTGCTATTCCTCAGTATTTTTGGTTTAATAAAGGGACGGGCTGAATAAATAGTCATATAAAGAAACGGGTTCACCAGCCAAGCCCAAGCTAACGAGCCCCGAGCCCTGGGTTGGTGGGGATGTCGCTCCACTTCCCAACCCTATGTTTTGACTCACTCCAGGGTAGCTGTGGTGTGGGGAGGGCTGAAGTCTGGAAGGGTGAGGCAATGCTCCGGGAGCAGCTCTCTACAGAGGAATCACTGCCGGGAGCCAGCCCGCCAGGAAAGGTTTATTATTGTTGGGGAGGACACAGGGAGCTCACTGTTTTGCAAAAACAGAAATCTGGCTGCTTTGAGATGAAAGAGGGGCTCCCTAGGGCTCTTCCTTGCCCCTTTCTCCCTATCCTTAAAAACTCCCCTTCCTTTGCACCTAGGGCCCCAGAATGAGTGTGGGGGTGCGGAGTGCTGGATGGGGGAACAAGCTCTGAAGGTCAAGTGTCAAAATAAAAATAACTACTTCTGGTTGCTTCAACTGAACTTTATTACAATTAGTAGTACAAGTAGTGATAAGAATAATGATCGTTATATTTTATGCCATTTACAAAGTACTTTCACATGGTAACTAGCAATAGTACCAACGCCAAAGTCAATGCTAATAATAACCAGTACTTACTGAGGGCTTCCTGTGAGCCCGACACTGTGCTCTCCATACTGTATGGTGTATTGATGTTCCAGTCTGTGGCCGTGGCAGATCCACAACTTCTGTGTACACAAGAACTCAGTGGCACAATCTGTTTGGAAGGGGAGGATGGGAGTTGGTTATGAAGGTGCATTTGCATAGCACTTTACATGAGATTGTATGTCACAAAGAATGGGGGGCTGATGGAAACTGGGAACACCCCAAACCACTTCTGAGAACCTAAGCTTGTCAAAGCCACCTCTCAGATCAGATTTACTGAATTCAGCTCACAGCTCCATCTCTAATGGCCACGTGACCTTGGGCAAGTTTTAACTTCTTTACTCTTTTCTAGTCTGTAAAACAGAGTTAATAACAGAATCTACTTTGTAGATAATATGGCGAGTTTAATAATGATGCAAGGAATCCACTTTGAGGTGTCTGGCCCACAGCGAGTCACCTCCTACTATGAGAAGAAACAAAATGAAATCTCAAACAGTGGTAATAAGTTGGGAGCTATGATCCCATTTTACAGATGGAAAATAGAGGTGATGCGAGGATAAGGAACTAGCTCAAGGTCACAAAGCCAGTAAGTGATGAAAAGGACATTCCAACCAGGTTTGCCAGACTCCAGAACCTGAATCCCTTTAGGCATATTGCCCCTCCTCTCGCCTTGCCCAGGATTATCTCAATTTTCATGGGAAAAAAAGCAAGAGCCAATACTTAAAAGAATCCCTTGAAATGCCCCAACTAGAGCTATGACCGACATCTCTCTTCTGCAATAAGCAATAATGATGAGCAGTGATCTCGTAAGGTTAAAGAAATCATGGCTTTGCTCCGGGGCACTATGGAATGAAATCCCAGCACGTGAGAAAGAACTTTGAAAACTGCGGCTGTGCTTGGCAAGGAGACATCAATCTTACTAAATGCCGCCCCCACCTTGTTTTATCAAACCCGGAAAAATCACTCACCTGTTTGGCCTCTCCAGCACTACCCCCTCCCCGCCCCCAAGTGCAGCTGTGTGCAGCGAGAAGACTGTTTTCCTTAAAGGCCTCCGGTTGCTCGTAGCTTCTTTAGACATTCAGCCAAAATTTTTGAAGTGCAGCTGGGGGGCGGGGGGTGGCTCACCCTGAATGGATTTAGCTGCGTCGTGGAAGCTCAGGTTCCTAGACCAGGGCACAAAAACAAATCGAAAAGGCAGTTTCCGAAAGATTGGAAAACAGCTAATTTTGCAGGTGCTTCGGCGTCAGTGGTAGCAATGAATGTAACATCCACACCGCGGGGGGAAAAGGTTTGATTGCAGATGAAACGGGTAATACACTACAAGAAATCCACAGCGAAATTCTTGAAACAGGACATTTAAATTCACTGCCCGGGTGGGGTGGGGAGCGGGATCGGAAACGACGCTTGTGGTTTTTAAATGCGTTTTTACTTGGGAAAGCCGGGCGGGGAGAGGAAAGGTCATCGTCTGTTTAATTTCCAGCCCCAGCCCTGGACTTCCAGCGTTAGCTCGCCGGGCCTCAGCTGTCGTACACACACGGCGAGGGGGGAGGGGAGGGCGGAGGCGCGGAGGAGGGGCCGACTGGGAGGAATCTGGGCGTCCTGCCGCGCATGCGCCTTTCCCGAGCAACAAGTGGGCTCCACAGACAGAGGAAGTGTAAAGGGGAGGGGGGAGAACTGGTGCAGAGCATGGCGGTGACGTCAGCGCTCCGCCCGGGCGGCATCCCGCGCGGCCAAGCCGGGGACAGCGCGAGCCGCAGCGCGAGCGGGAGCGCCGAGACGCGCCTCCGGAACGTAGAGTAACAATCACAACCCCACATTCCGGGCGAGTGCGAGCGGGAAGGGATGCGACCCGGGCCGAGGCGCCGCGCGAGCGCCCTGCAGCCAACGTGAGCGCCGCCAGCCGCGGCGGCCCGGGCGCCGGCCAGGCCGGGGGGCGGCGGGAGCCTGCGTGCGTGCGTTCCTCTCCTCTGCTCTCGTGCGTCCTGGAAGCGGTGGCCGCGGCGGCTCCCTCCGGCCGTGCAAACCCAGCCGCCGCCAGCGGAACGGCCGACGCTGCGGAGGAGAGAAGCTCCTCTCTCGGCTACCACCCCCTCCCTCCCCCGGCCCTCCACGGAAGCAACGGCTTGAGCAAGATTGGACCCGGGCACCGGGTGGCACTGAACCCTCTAGCCCTCGGCCCAGGGAGCCTGGCGGGGAGAGGACGCCCCTCGTAGGGGGGCCCCCGGGGGAGAGGAAGAGACAACCCCCCTCGAGCTTCCACGCACCAGCCGCTCCGGGGAGGGGGCCAAGAGCCAACGGCGGCCAGCACCGGGCACCCTCGCCCCCTCCCCCCGGGCCCAGAGCTTCCAGCTCGGGTCCGCGGCACCAGGAAGAAGGCGCCTGAGCTCCCCTCTCGACGAGACAACCGCAGTAGGAGGTGGGGGCGACGAGCGGGCTGAACTCGACTGCCGCCCGGGCGGTGGAGCCCCCGCGGAGAGGCGCTGCGCCGGCGGTGGAGACTCGCGCTCCCTCCAGCCCCTGGGGCAGAACTTTCTCGCCCCCCCTCCCTCCCCCGCAGCCGAACTCCCTCCCCAGCCGGCCAGTCCTCCCGGAGGAGAAGGCGCCGCGGAGACAGCCCGGGCGGGGGCCTACCTTCCCCAGGGCCGGCATCATGTCGGCGGCGCAGGTGTCCTCGTCCCGGAGACAGTCTTGCTACCTGTGCGACCTGCCCCGCATGCCCTGGGCCATGATCTGGGACTTCTCGGAACCCGTATGCCGCGGTTGCGTCAACTACGAGGGTGCCGATCGCATCGAGTTCGTGATCGAGACCGCGCGCCAGCTTAAGCGGGCACACGGCTGCTTCCAGGACGGCCGCTCCCCCGGGCCGCCGCCACCCGTCGGGGTCAAGACGGTGGCCCTGTCGGCTAAGGAGGCGGCGGCGGCAGCAGCGGCGGCAGCGGCGGCCGCACAGCAGCAGCAACAGCAGCAGCAGCAACAGCAGCAGCAGCAACAACAGCTCAACCACGTCGATGGTTCCAGCAAGCCCGCGGTGCTGGCGGCCCCGTCCGGTCTGGAGCGCTATGGCCTGAGCGCAGCCGCCGCTGCCGCCGCCGCCGCCGTGGAGCAGCGCAGCCGCTTCGAGTACCCGCCACCGCCGGTGAGCCTGGGAAGCAGCAGCCACGCCGCGCGGCTGCCCAACGGCTTGGGGGGGCCCAACGGCTTCCCCAAGCCGACACCGGAGGAGGGCCCCCCGGAGCTGAACCGCCAGAGCCCCAACTCGTCTTCAGCTGCGGCGTCGGTGGCGTCTCGGCGCGGGACGCACGGTGGGCTCGTGACAGGCCTGCCCAACCCGGGGGGTGGCGGAGGCCCCCAGCTCACCGTGCCCCCCAACCTGCTGCCGCAGACGCTGCTTAACGGCCCGGCCAGCGCCGCCGTGCTGCCCCCACCGCCGCCCCACGGCCTGGGCAGCCGTGGGCCCCCGACGCCGGCACCCCCAGGGGCCCCCGGAGGTCCCGCTTGTCTCGGGGGCGCTCCGGGCGTATCGGCCGCGTCGTCCTCGGCGTCGTCTTCGACCTCGTCGTCGGTGGCCGAGGTGGGCGTGGGTGCTAGTGGCAAAAGGCCCGGCTCAGTGTCGAGCACCGACCAGGAGCGCGAGCTGAAGGAGAAACAGCGGAACGCCGAGGCCCTGGCCGAGCTGAGCGAGAGCCTGCGCAACCGCGCCGAGGAGTGGGCCAACAAGCCCAAGATGGTCCGCGACACGCTGCTCACGCTAGCTGGCTGCACGCCCTACGAGGTGCGTTTCAAGAAGGACCACTCGTTGCTGGGCCGCGTCTTCGCCTTCGACGCAGTCTCCAAGCCCGGCATGGACTACGAATTGAAGCTGTTCATTGAGTACCCCACGGGCTCGGGGAACGTGTACTCTAGTGCATCTGGGGTGGCCAAGCAGATGTACCAGGACTGTATGAAGGACTTCGGCCGGGGTCTCTCCTCGGGCTTCAAGTATCTGGAGTACGAGAAGAAGCACGGCTCCGGGGACTGGCGCCTACTTGGAGACCTGCTGCCCGAGGCCGTGCGCTTCTTCAAGGAGGGCGTGCCCGGCGCCGATATGCTGCCCCAGCCCTACCTGGACGCCAGCTGCCCTATGCTGCCCACGGCGCTGGTGAGTCTAAGCCGCGCCCCCAGCGCACCCCCGGGGACCGGGGCCCTGCCGCCCGCCGCCCCCTCGGGCCGGGGCGCCGCCGCCAGCCTGCGCAAGAGGAAGGCGTCTCCCGAGCCCCCAGACTCGGCCGAGGGCGCGCTGAAGCTGGGCGAGGAGCAGCAGAGGCAGCAGTGGATGGCGAACCAGAGCGAGGCACTGAAGCTCACCATGTCAGCAGGGGGCTTTGCGGCGCCGGGGCATGCGGCCGGCGGCCCGCCCCCGCCGCCGCCTCCACCCCTGGGACCCCATTCCAACCGGACCACCCCGCCCGAGTCAGCCCCTCAGAATGGTCCGTCCCCCATGGCCGCCCTCATGTCGGTGGCAGACACTCTGGGCACAGCGCACTCTCCCAAGGACGGCAGTTCCGTGCACTCCACCACTGCGTCCGCGCGGCGCAACAGCAGCAGCCCAGTGTCGCCGGCCTCCGTGCCCGGGCAGCGCCGTTTGGCATCACGGAACGGGGACCTGAATTTACAGGTGGCGCCCCCGCCGCCTAGCACCCACCCGGGTATGGACCAAGTGCACCCCCAAAACATTCCGGATTCCCCCATGGCTAACAGCGGGCCCCTCTGCTGTACCATTTGCCACGAACGTTTGGAGGACACGCATTTCGTTCAGTGCCCATCCGTCCCCAGCCACAAATTCTGCTTCCCTTGCTCTAGAGAGAGCATCAAGGCCCAGGGGGCCACCGGCGAGGTGTATTGCCCCAGCGGAGAGAAATGCCCCCTCGTGGGGTCAAATGTACCTTGGGCCTTCATGCAGGGCGAAATCGCGACGATCTTAGCTGGGGATGTTAAAGTGAAAAAGGAGAGAGACCCTTGAAACCAGGAGACAGTCGCCTCCTTTGCCCCAGACCAGCTCTTCTCCATCCAGAGGGCCCCTCCCCCACCCACATCGGCCTTCCTTTCCCTGCCCCCAAGATGTAGAATTGTGAATATTACAAACTGCAAAAAGTTAGTCTTATGTATAGACATTATTTTCGTCGTATGTTTCTATATTTTGAAACAAAGGTATGTAACTTCTTCATTTGAAGGATAAGCTGGTTTGTGTTAAGCAGTATAATATTGGTTGGGTCATTTGCATCATATTCGTTAGCATCTCTTTGGTGGCAGAGTGTTTGCCTAGGTACAGAATTAATAGCCCTTAGCAACGACTGCTGCTGGTGTGTATTTTTGTAAATGTTATGCACTCTCTGAAAGGAAAAGGACACACACAAAAGAAAATGACTTTTTTGTTTTTGGCCAAGGCCAGTGTTGCTGCCTAAAAAAAAAAAATGATGCTATGAAATGGTGACAGCTTCTTTCTAAACAGCCCCAAGTGTTGAAGTCTTCACTTTATTTTGTTCTGTTCTGTTTTGTTTTGTTTTTCTGTTTTGTTTGCAAAATGGTAAGGGGAGGTGTTGGGGGGGTGGGGTGTTTTCTGTTGCAAGTTTGTGAGGGAAGATGTTTCGGTTTGTTTCTACTGACCTGAATGTGTTGGATCTTCACGTGTTGTTTTGTTTTTGCTTTATCGATGCACGGATGCTTTTGAACAGTAGAGCGAAATGCTAGACATGGAGAATCTGCTCTGTTTGTCCTTTATACATTTCTGTAGTTAACAGAACACTGTAATGTGCCTTGGAGCTTAGTAACTTGTAATAAATTCAATTGATATTAATTCTGCCCTGAGTCGGCAAGTTTGTTTTTCTAGGGCTAATAAGGCCTGACAACTCCAACATGGGACACCCCCCTCCCTCCCCCCACTTCTAACCTAGAACGCAAATGCTGGTTGCCTTTGAAAGCCCTCAGATGGCATCCGTAGAAGGCCTGTGCTGACAGACCGCCCCTCCCCCTCAGTACCAGCTATTTACATTCACCTCTTGGGGCGGGGACAGTTGCTGACTAAGCGCTTTCTGTTTACTCTTCAGCATCTTTATCCACCCCCCCCCCCCATGCATAACCCAGCTGCAAATGGCATTGTCAGGAAAGCTTTCTGGTGTCTCGCCTTGTGGCCATGAGTATACACTGATACCCAATGCAGCTGTGACTTGTGCAAGTAGAGGGGGGGAAAAAAAGCTAGGGTGTTTGCCTCTTAGATGTGGCAGAAATCACTGTTATTGTACATTTAAAGCAAAAATGCCACAGAGCTGGGAGCCGTCGGTGGAGGCAGGAGGGGTGTGGGCAACGGAGAAACAAATGCATGTTCTGGGCCAGGAGAGTTCCCAGGAGCTTGCAGCTGATGAATTACAAAAGCAGTTACACCTCATTCATTACACGTTTTCTTTCTTTCCTCCCTTTTTCGTAAGCATTTTTAAAGGCAGGACACTTAGCCGGTCAGAAGATGTTTGCAGGGAATGGGGGAGAGAGAAGAACACCCAAACTCAGTTCTTGAGGTCACTTGTGACCCCAGATAGAACTCATGCCATCTGGTTAAGAAATGCAGTTATTCATCTGATCAACTTTTTGGCGGCATTTGTGAGGTACAGAAGGGTGGGGAAGGGGACAGGGCATTGGAATGTCCTTTAGAGCTCTAAGCCCCCTTGGCTGAGACCAGAATAGAGCCCTCCTGGAGCTAGGCGGTGGCAGGCAGACCTGGCTGGAACCTTGTACTTTCTGGGAGGGAAATGGAAGGAGAGTAGAAACAGGAGGGAGGAAGCAAAACAAACCCCCAGGTCCTATCTGAAGTTCATTCCTGGCCACACCCCATTCCTGGTTGGGGGCAGGCTGGGCCAGGACGGTCCACACCGAGGCTGGAGGAATAGGCTGGAGGAATAAGCGAATGAGCAAAGAGACCTGGCACCCCCCGACCTGGCTCCCATCAAAGAAGGATCAGGAGGGTGAGGAGGTGGGTATGAGCGTGGGCACGTTTGGGAAAAAACAAATCACAAGTTAGCCCAGAACACCGGTGTAGAGGTTGGGTTGGTGTTGGGACTTGCTGTTAATAACACCCTTTTAGCTTCTGTTCCTGCTTTGCCGCCACCATCATTGGAATAGTGGAAACCATGACTGTGTGTGTGCGTGCGTGTGTATGTGTGTTTGGGGGTGTGGATAAATGGCAATTGATGGATCTGCTGCGGCCTCTTAATCCTGGTGCAGGAGGTGCCTGTGTCACCTCTTTAAGAGTCTCCCCACATATAAATAGATATGCGTGTCAGCTTCCTGCAAATGTGTCCTTGCATTTTCATCTGCTGCCAAGTGTTGTATTGGTGCTTATGAGTCATGAAACCTATTTTCATGCTCGGGGTAATTAACTTGGGGGTGATAATGCATAGCAGACTGTAGGAAGAGTTAATTCTAAAACCCATTCTCGCCTGGCTACCAATCACACATTTCACTTAAAGGTCTGGGTGGCTTTTCTCATAAGCTCATTAATAAAAACCAAGCATGTTTTGCCTCGAAGATCCTCCAAGGTGCTCCCAACCCCCACTCCCAATGCGCACACTCTTCAAATGGGTAAAGCTCAGCAGCCTGAGAATACAGCGATAGAGTGTCATGGGTGTAATTTAATCATCATTGAATGAAGGAGCACTGGATGCAGCTACAGCACTGAACTGCGTGTGTGAACTTTGATGCGTGGCTTACCTGTCCGGGAGTGGACCCTCTGAGAAAGGTGGCTGCACGTGGGAGTCAGCCTTCTTACCTGCCTCTGCACATCCGCTCTTGCCCGCCTGCCACCCTCTCTTCATTGCCATGGTATTACAGTTCAGGCACTTTTAGGATTACAAGACCCTTGATTTAGTGCACATGGGTAGGAAAGGGGCCTGTCATTAAGCGCTGAACAGTGTAGTTTGCTCCCCCCTCTTGTTGCTGGGTGCATTATTAGCAGGAGAAGCAGGAGCTGTAATAATGAGGCATCCAGCAAAGGCGGCCAGTTAGGTTTCACTGAGGAAGCCTGCCTTCGTGAGACCTGGGGGAGAGGAGGGAGGGAGTGGGAGCGAGAGAGCAGGTTGGGGTGCAGCTCAGGCTGGAAGTGAATTATAATGGTGCAGTTAATTAAAGTTTACCATAGCCAGGGGCCATGTGTTAAATGGCGGCCCTCCCGTCTCTCTTTTTGGAACCATGTGACCTTCCTCTTTGCTCTGACCCATTCCGCTGCCGGTCTGTTCGCCTTAACCAGTCCTGCTTTGATCCCTCAGCTAGATTCCCCCTTCCCTGAAGCTTTCCACGTTGCACGCCTAGGAAGTGTTTTCCTCTCCTGCGGGTGAGCATTCTTGTAGGTTTCAGAGATTCAGACAGAGGTCTCTGGATGAGCTTTCATCTCTAGTTCACCCTGGACCTCCCCATCTCCTCCATTTCCCATCCTTCTCACTCCCTTCCCCCTCAGAGCCAAAGTGACCAACATTTTAAAATTCACATTGTGTTTATTTATATGCATTATTTGTACAGCTCCTGTAAGCTGGATGTTTTCCAAGTGGGCACGGGGGGTAGGGCAAGGAGGACTTAATTCAATACCTTTGAGAGAATGGGCTGATGGGGATCAATTTTTGACCTTGATCTCTGAGGGCGACACCACAGGAGATGCACCCTGTCGAGCCCTGCATTCACACAGGAACCCGCTCAGCCCATGTTATTAAATGTAAGGTTCGAGGGTGTGTTTTCATGTGCATCCAGCCCCGGCTGTTACTGTAATGAGCACTGAAATTCACTTTTGTTTTATACTTTATCAAATCAAGGAAATTGGAACTTAAGGTCATGTAGTGAAATGCTTTCTAAACCTTTCTGAGGTCCGAGACACCTTAGAAAAATCTGATAAAAATGATGGATCCTTCCCCAGAAAGTACAGGTGCCCCCGCCCCAACATGGATTTGCATGCCTTTTCTTTTCTTTTTAATATAAATTTTATGTATTTATTTTTGAACAGGTAATACATTCCTTTGGGTCTAAATTGAGAAGATGCAAAGGGAGAATACAGTATACCTGTAAGGTCTCCTTTCTACAACTGGCCCCTCTGCCACCCAGTTCCCTTCTGGGATGCAACCAGTGCTACCCAATTTTTAAAGGGGTTCATGCACATCTAAAGCCCATCCATCCAACTTGAGGTTGGAACCTAGGTCTGGTCCATCCACCTCATAAAGACGAGGACCCCAAGGCACAGAGAGGTGAAGTAACTTGCCTAAGGTCACACAGTGGCAGAGCCCGGGCTAGATCTCTATTAGGGAATAGCTCTAATGGACATTAAAAAAAAATTTTTTTTAAGGACGCTTGGTTTAATTAGAGCTTTCTATGAGAAAGAGTGATGCTACAGTGGGGAAAAGGAGAGTGAGTACCTGGTGGGGTGGGACTCAGGGTTTTCACTAACTCTTGGAGAAGTGGGTACAGCATTTGTCCCTTGGTCTCTTTTGCAGCTGTACCTTTTGGGGAAGGGGATGTTCAGAAAGCTAGTGGAGTCTTTTCTTAACCTTTGAGCCGTGGACCCTCACACCACCTCCCCCTTTGCTGACTGGAAACTTGTGAAGGTTTAAGGACGGTCAGAGAAGTAACCGTCTGAGCACAGCTAAATGGTCGGGGAGAGGAAGATCTGCCTGGACTCCTCCCATCTTCCCTTAAGTCTGAGGCATCTGTCTTCGCTCCCTGTCACCCATCTCTGCCTAGCTTCCTCTCTCCCACTGCTACGGAGGGGACTGAAGGACACAAGTGTTATGCCAGGTGCTGTGTGAGGTGCCAGGCGGATGCACATTATGCCATCCAAGCTTCAGGCCAGGCTAGCAGAGGGTGTGAGGGCCCATTTTACAGATGTGCCAGCTGAGCTCAGAGAGGTTAAATACCCAAGGCCATCCTTGGTATGCAATTCAAGCCCAGGGCAGCCTGGCCCCTTCCCAGGACTCAGATGTTGCTCCATGCAGAGGGCCTCCGACTTCTGACCCGCAGGGCTCAAGCCTCGTCCCTCAGCCCTCTCCCCATCTCCTGGAGTCTCACTGTGAGCCTGGCCAATGCCAGTGAGCAAGGCTGTCCACAGGAGGGGCGGACAGGAAGCCCCTCAGAGAGGGCATTTCCTAAGCTTGGGGATCTAGGGACAAACAGTGGGTGCTGTTCAAGCAATATGTCCAATCGGGAATTCTGGAACAAGACTATTCTTCTGAAGTCTCCCTCAGCTACCTCCTACCCCCAAACTTTATTAAAGAATGAGCCCACCCCTGTCTCAGCTTTGACTGAACACAGAGGTGGGCACGAAGCAGACGGGGGCTCTCATTTCTAAGGTATATCGCTCCAGTGGGGAGCATCAGCCCTACAAGCCAGTGTGTCCCCTGGCAGTCTTGCTTGTTTTAGGGGAAAAGAAGTGGCAATTAGCTCTTGGGCCTGGCTTGGTCGCCCTGTCTCTTTTAGGGTCACAGATGGGCATCCACCAGGTACAAGAGTCTGTATGCATGTCTTGGGGTTTGACCCAGGAAAGCTCACCTCTCTGTGGGTACCACATTGCGGGCCCACAAGCGGGAGATCCCTGGCTCAGGCTAGCCTCAAAAGAAGTGTCCCAACCTTCCAACTGGTCTGTGGTCTCCGCCCACTCCAGGCCATGACTCTGTAGCAGAGTAAGTTCTTTCACGTACCTGAGCAGGTCACATCCTGGCGTAGAAACCTCCCTTGGCTCCCTGTTGCCTGCAGGATAAAGTCCAAATTCCTTAGCACAGCAAGCAAAGCCCTCCACCATTTCTCCATCCCAGTGGTAGGGCATTTTAATTT